TGTATTAATATTTAGTTTAAATTTTCCTTTTAATGATTTTTATGATCTAAACACGCCCCCCATGGAAACCAGCCTAGAGTTGATGGGGCTAGCGTGTTCTTCTTTCTGTTAATTTTAAATAAAGTATTACCTACCTACCTACCTACCTTACCTTCAAGTGATGCAAACCCTTACCATACCTTCCATTGCCCACCTGGTAGTGATAGCTGGTGTCGTTACCAACAAGACAAAGCAAATGGGACAAAATTATACAAACATGGTCCTGGTCTTCCAAAGAACATCATTAAGCTGGTTAAGCCTGTGTACCAGAGACTTACTGATAACAGTCTTTTGGAAAAGTGCTTGCACGGGAAAACGCAAAATCAGAACGAGGCTCTGAACGTTCTAATTTGGCAAAGAATTCCCAAGGAAGTCTTTGTTCACAGAGACTGCCTAGAGTTTGGGGTGTATGATGCTGTCTTACACTTCAATATTGGTTGCAATGCAATTGTTGGACTTTTCAAGTCAATGAATATTCCTGCGGGCAAGTACACTGAATTCGCCTGTCATGCTGAAGACAAGTCTCGTGTATCGCTCGCACAATATAAAAGCACGCCCAAAGCTAAAAAGAGAAGAAAGGTGATCAGAGGACTAAAAAAGAAAAAGGAAGACAAGAACCAAGAAGCAGAGGGACTAAAATATGGAGCAGGAGAGTTCTAGTGATTTCTGAAGCTAAGCAGAGGTATATGTAGCTGTGAAACTTGGTAGACAAACTTTAAACTGTGTTTTCTCTAATATCAATTTTCGGGTATTTTGTAAACTCGTACATTGATAACTCAAAAAGTATCTGGTAGATTTTACTCAAATTTTCAGTGAATATTCCACATATGTAAAGCTATGCAATGAACTAGAATGGTGGGATATGCTTCACTAGATTTTGAATTATTTTGAAATATGTATTCTGATACGGAGTATGTATACTACTGACTAAATAAATTAATAACCACTTCTCTGATCAAAAAGCTTTTAGTTCATTGCATAGACATATTAAAGATGATTTTATCCCCAAAGTTTCATAGACATTGCTTAAAAACTAATCAAGTTATGGTTGTTGGCGTTTTGGCTCAAATTACGGGTTTGGTCACTTTATCCTGGTAACCATGGCAACAGAAAATGTCATTACCTCAAAAATATTCATACTCTTTTGTGCTTATAACATCCATGCAATTTAAATTTTGTTGAAAGCTTTTTAAAAAAAAAAAAAAATTTGGGGGTCATTCCATTAAATTAAGGCACTGAAATTATCATTATAAATATTTTTTAATTTATTTAATTGTACGTACAAAAAGTATGTTTATCTAAGGATCATAAAGCCAAATTAACTTTTTTTCCCTATATGTAAACTGTCTAAATAGAATCCCTACAACCTCTAGTAGTTTGACCAAATCATTACATGGTGTAGCCAGACATCCATGACTGTGTGCTTTAAAGTATTCATTTTCCAAACCAGGACTGATCATATGTTCTAAAATTATTTGAAGCCGTCGTCATTTGCTTTGTTTTTGGACTTTTTCTTCAGATTTGACAACACATAACATGCTATGTAGGACAGGGTACCGTGTTCATTCTCATTAAGTTCAGAAGAAATCCCAGCATGTCCACTGCATGTAGTAAGACCTTTCGACAATGTCACTAAATGGTCTGCTCTTGAAATCATTATTAGACAACCATGTAAACAATTTGTCTCGGCCTCCACAGATAACTTTTCATTCCCTGATTCTCAGGCCATCAAACAAATAACTGCATGTTTCAGGAGTCACAATCTCACACTTAGAGCTATTCGTGTAGGAGGCCGGGATACAGTGCCAGGGCTAGTGTTTCTCATATAGCCGTGCGGTAAAGTTGTCTCGGGGATAGGGTGTCCCTAGTATTTGAGATCATATCAATAGCGTCTAGGACTGCATGATTGTTGGTTTTTAGACTGCAATAGGCACGACGAAAGTCTGCTAAGAATGAATATTGATTTAACTTTCGACAAAATCGTTCATAAATTGGCAATGAATATATCGTATATAGTGAATCGTTCGATGTTATGCTTGCCATATTCGAAGTCATTTCGCTGTCCCAGAAAGCATCCTCCTTTATTTTTGTCTTAACTTTATCAACAATGGATTTTAACTACTCAGGTGTTAGCGATATCTTCGATGCAGAAACGTTCTCTTTCCCCGCTGTAATTTTGTTCCCATGTTTGCATTTTTATGTCTCGACAGTCTCATTAAGCCACGTACCTTTCGACTTGCATATCCTGTCACAATTCTTGCAAGAAAAGTTGTTTTCGCCTGATATTTCGCTCACAGCGTCTGCGACCTCCTCTTCCATAGTTGCTTCGACTTCTTCAATAAAATACAACGCAATTTCAAAATTATAAGGGAAAATATCCTCGCAGCTTTCTTCATGTTCAAATAATGCCAACTCCTCGACAATGTTGCTCGAACAACTTTCGCATTCCAATTCCCTGGGAATTGATACAATCGCCTCTAAATCGTCGTCCATAACTCGTTGTATGATATGACTTTAGTTTAGCACAAAAATAAATGTTATTAGCGCCGTTATTTCGCGATGAAACATGAAAACATTGGAAACTATAATATAATCCTATAGTAATTGGTTTCAAGCCATGCACTAAAACCGTCACGTGACATCTTTTTCCTTTGATACTCAACATAGTTTGCCGCCGTCGCCTAATCCCTTTGACGTTTGCCGGCTAGCCAAACCATCCTATTTTATTAACTGTGCTCTGATCACCCCTAGCTCCGCCCCTGTTATGTTGTAACTGAAGTAGCATGTTATGGGTACTGTTATTTTTAATTTCAATTCAATTCAATTTATTAAGTCAAATTAATTTACAAAATCAATAAAATGTTGCTGTCCACAAATAGCAAAAGCTAATCGTGGTGGACAGCAACTACACACATTCGGAATTAATTAAAGAAGATATCAAAAATTCATTAGTAAATACAAGCTCTATTGATCACCAAAAGGCATATATATGATAGAAATACATTCACCATATATACAAACATAATGTCTAACGACCGAATGATCAGACTTAAATTCAAGATCATAAAATAATTTAACTTTTAGATTATTGCGATTTCTTTTTGTATTGTTAGAATATCAATATAGTCGTCTTTCTTTTCTAATATTTGAAGTAACTTTCTATGTAAAACGTTTTTAAAGTGATTCTTTGATTTTTCACGTAGTTCTGTAGGAATGTTATTCCAAATTCTACCTCCCATTCTTGAGAATGATTTGCTTTGCACATCTAAACCTGAATATTCAACGTGGAAGTTCTTCCTAGTGGAAGATCTGGTGTTGTGTTCGTGTACCTGACTTAATGGGGTAAACAAAGCCGAAATATTTGGGGGTACCACTGAACTTGATACGTCATGCATTAGTATTGATACTGATTTGCAATAAAGCAAGTTTATTGGCAGAACATTAGCTGACAGAAAATAAGGAATGGCATGAGACAGATAGTGTGCAGAATATATTAAACGAAGAGATCGTTTTTGGAGTTTAAGGATTTGATCTAAGTAACATTTGGCAGCACATCCCCATACAACAATAGCATAAGTTAGGTAAGGCAGCATAAGGGACTTATAGATACTTATTAGTGTACTAACTGGTACAAAATGACACAGCCTAGCAATTATGCCAATTCTTTTTCTAAGATTAGAGGCGATGTACCCAATATGAAATTTCCATGAAAGATTTGAGTCCATGAGAACACCAAGGTATTTAATGTAATTTTTAGTTTCTAGTGAGACGAAAGTATTAGACTGTGCATCATACATCTTCAAATCTACCGCATAATCCAGCCGTTTTTGGTAAGAATGAAAAATAATAAAATTAGATTTTTGTTATGTTTAGGGATAATTTATTAGCTGTTAACCAGTTATAGATATTAAGAAGTTCTGTATTGACAATATTTTTCTAGTGTTTTTAAATTCTTGTCAGCGTATAATAAATTGGTGTCATCTGCAAATAAGGAAAACGTCAGCTTATCAGAGGAGTTATAAATATTATTTATATAAATTAAAAATAGTAGCGGTCCCAGGACAGATCCCTGAGGAACGCCAGAAAGAGTTTTTTCTTTTTCAGATATATTTACACCCATTTGAATAGTTTGGATACGACCTAACTGGTAAGAAGAAAACCAATCGTTTACGATGCCTCTTATTCCATAATGATGCAATTTTTCTAAAAGTATTGAATAGTTTACAGTGTCAAATGCCTTTTGCAAATCAATAAAAATACCACAAGTGAACAATTTACGAGACATGTTAGATTGGATTTGATTTACTATATCTAAAATTGCATGCTGAGTTGAATATTTTTCCCGAAAACCATACTGAGATTTAAATATGATATTTTGTTTCTCAAGAAAAGATTTTAAACAATTATACATCAATTTTTCAAAAATTTTATTAAAGATTGATAAAAGAGATATTGGTCTATAATTAGAAGGATCGGTTTCATCATCCTTTTTGTAAATAGGGATAACTTTTGAGTGTTTTAATTTAGCTGGGTATTGGCCGCATTCAACCGATTTATTCATTAAATCAGATAAAGGATTGGATAAAACGTGTCTAGCGCATTTTAAAATACGAATTGGGCATGAGTATAGGCCATGTGCCTTTTTCATTGGAATTAACATAATTTCTATTTCGATCTCGTGCGGCATGATAGGATTAAATTGAAACGATCCTGGGTTATTTATCTTTGGAAGGTAATTTGTGAATGGAATTTGTGAATTTGGCATTTTACTAGCTAAATTATGACCCACTGATGAAAAGTATTTATTGAATATATTTGGAAACTTACTTTCATCATATATCATTCTGTTGCTGATGGGACATTTTAAAGACGGGATGGGTCTAGTTGACTGTTTCTTCCGATTAATTAATTCGTTTATACCTTCCCAGGTCTTTTTAGCGTTTGCAAAGTTGTACTCAAAATAACTATGATAATATTCCTTTTTACTCTGACGAGTGAGTGTTAAAATTTTGTTTCTATAGAATTTATATTTACCCTTATCACCGCGATTATATAAACTACCCTTAATTTTAATTGATTTCCTGATACCTTTAGTTATCCATGGTTTTGTTAACTGCTTTGCTTTACGCTTAGAAATGTTCTTAAGGGGAGCGTGGTTTGTGATAACTGTATTTAACTTATTGTAAAATGTTGAAAACGATTTGTTTATATCATTTTCGCTCAAATCAACAGCATGATTCAAACCAGTACGGGAAAGATCATTGACAAAGTTGGATTCTGAAAACTTTGAATAGTCTCGAGTTAAATGTTTGTTTGCAAAATTAGTTTTAGCTTTTACGTTCGAATGAGTGATAAAAAACTGAGAGTAGTGATCACTTATATCTGAGACAATATTTCCGGATGTACTATTATTTTCTAATTTACTTACAAAAATATTATCTATGAGAGTTGCCGAGTCATTATGTACGCGTGTTGGTTTGTCTATAGTAGGCATTAAACTGAAACTTTGCATAGAGAGGATAAAATTTTGAGCGTGATTACATGTTTCAGAACGAAGAAGATTGATATTAAAATCGCCCATTAGGTAAATGGGTTTACCGGATGCACTCATTTTTTCAATAGTTTCTTCGAAATAGCTTAAGAAACGTTCCGGTGAATTGTGTTGCCTGTAAATAACACCACATATTATGTTTGCATTCTTCGGTGATTGAATTTCGATCCACAGTGCCTGATAAGATTCATTAGAGCTTTTCTCAAGTATTTTATACTTCAGATTACTATTAATATACATGCCTACTCCTCCAGCAGCTAATGGTGTATGTACAAATTCAAATTTGTAGTTTGGCATTGAGGGATTAAAATCAATAAAAACGTCTTGCTTAATTCTAGTTTCTGTAACACCAATTACATCAAAATTATAGGCAAGTTCATCGAGGAGATGTGTTTGTAAATTTTCTAAATTTTTCTTTAGGCTTCTTATGTTATTATGTAGTAAGGAAAACTTATTATTGCAGTCAGTAGATACATTAGAGGTCTCTTTAAGTTGATTAAAGCTATGAGGCGAATAATATTTGCAACGCATTTGCATGCGAATAGTAATTATCATTTACATTGTTCGATCTTTTCTCATGCATGTTCAAATTAAAAAGGTCCAAATCATGAATGCTAGTCAAGCGATCAAGGTCTTTTTTTGTCGGTAGGAAAGAATTACTAAACCTACTGTTTTTAAATAAATTATTAAATTGAGCGGGCCAAAGGTTTGAAAAAGGTAGTTCTCGAAGAAGAGCTTTATTAGCACTGCTTTTAGTCTTTAGACTCATGTTTGCCATGACGGTAAATTACAAAAATTCCACTTAGCTGTTGAATTGAAAGGATTAGTCCCTACGTCCCTGTTCATTCATTAAGGTCTCCAAGTCGTGATTATCATTGATTTTGATTGCCCTTGCTTCTTTAGTCTTCCGGAGATAGATTGTAGAATTTTTTGTCCAACAATAACTGAAGTTGTTGTCAGATTTAAATTTTTTCGCAGCAACCAAAAGTTGTTGACGTTTTGGGGTTAAATGATCGTAAATCCTAGCATATTCCATTGATGTTTCTCGAGATAGGCCAGCGCGAGTGGGGTCTATTTTCTTTATGTTTTGTCTCACGGCCATAACTTTATCCCGTGCTAGGCGGCGAACAAATTTGCAGACAATCGGTTTTGGCTGACTGCCATTACTCCTTCAATGTCTACATATATGCAGTGTGCATTGGATATACAAAATCTGTCGCCTCTATTTCCAATCACGTGAAAATAGGCAGTGTCGCGTGTCTGTTCTGGCTGCTCCTACTCGAAAATCGGGGCATAGTCAGAACAGTTCAGAACAGTCATGCGACTGTCTTCTGTTACATTAGTATTCCGAAAATCCGAGTACTCCGAACGTATCCAGATAGATGATACACGTGATGTAAATTACACGATGTCATTGGCCGAAATGCTATGAATATCTAATGATGTGTGATAACCTGCCTTCATAATCATACTGTTGTAGTTTACGTATCCGGAATCTTTTTTTAATAACTTGATATAGTCTTAAAGTATGTTTTTATTTCTTTCCAGAATTTTAGCGCCAACAGCGACACGAACACAATAGTTCGTAACTTCTTCGGAGATGGAATCATTGCACGTTTTGTGCGGATATATCCAGTTAAACATTTTGGGGCGCCGACGTTGCGAACGGAACTTTACGAATGTTACACAGGTATCGATTCCTTGCATTTCTCTGCATTTGCACTTACTAAAAACCCTCGTATCAATGTGAATTATTGTAAATTTCGCACATATTTGACCGCCAACTTTCGCACATCAACTACACTGATCTCAGAACTAGAACTGAATAGAGAGCATCTATACTATGTCTATGCGTAAATGAAATATTGCTGTGACCACCGCAAACCTGCTGTGGTGTTGCTGACATGTTAGAAGAGGTTCTTAAAGTTTCTGATGATTGGTAGGAATAAAAAAATATTTCCAAGTGGGAAATTGGGTATTTGTATCTCTCTTGTTATAAAATTTGCCAGTGAATAATTAATGAGGTCACACCAATGTGTCTGCCTCAAGTCTCATTATCTTGTGTTCGAAACGATGAAAACTCTTTAGAACAAGCTATATATTTAACAATTATACCAAGAGCTCGAGTCGTATATGAGCTGATAGTTGTCTCGATCGTCTCTCGTTTGTGCGTATTATTAACTTGCGTTGTGTATTGGCGTCTCAACGACAATCGAGAACCGTAAGCGGAGGTTCTTTCAATGAATAAGTTCTGAATAATGACGGACGATTCACGCAATAGTTTCAATGATATATTTACTTAATTACAATTTGTAACTCCCATAACGCGAGCCAGTTCAAGACTATATACAAACATAAAAATATAATAATAATGTGTCCAAAGCACGAATGTAATTTTACCCCTAAGCAAATTATTCTAACCAATCAAGTTCGAGTATGTGTGCGATTACTAATATTTGTACATTGACATGTGCTAGATCTGTGTTATCCAAAGTCAAGCGCGTAATTCAATATCTATATGATTATATTAAAGTCATTAGTGTTTTAGCGTCTGTCGCTATTTCACGACATCCTCCGGCGGGGCACAACAATGAGGATGTCCAGCCTTTAATTTTCTTCTTTGCTGCTACTGCTGCTGATCGTTTCTCTCTCTGTGGCGGGTTCTCGGATGGTTGATCTTTCTCGTCACTTGGTTCGTCAGTTGTGGGACAAATACCAAAGGATGTTGTAGCTCTAACCTCTAATGGATACAGTTTGGCAATTGGACGGTTAGTACGGCCGGTACTGGTTCTGATGTTGGCTGCTCGAACCAATCCATCGTTGCCAGTGAGGTCGTTTAAGAGTGGAGGACCGGTAGCTAGACAATCATTCAAGCTTGGTTGACTATCGTTTGTCTTGCAGCTGCAGTCAAAGACGACACGAAGTGGAGTGGTGGAGGAGTCTTTCAAGATAGCATGGTGTGGAAGGTAGTGACATCTGCTTCGGATCTTTTCTCGGGATAAAATCCACGTTGTTGTTGTTCGGTGATGATTTGGTTGTATGCTTTCAGCTTTTCGGGGTCTGTGGCAAGCCGTCGTACTGTGGAGCGGGTTCGTCCTTTTGCTATTGCTTCATTTGTAGGAAGTGGTGGGTGATTAGGTTTCCAAGGCAACTTAGCATTATAGTGTCCATTTTCAAGGTGAATTGAGGAATTTTGGTAGTCTTCAACGAACTCTCTTTCTTTTTTCTCGGTTTCATCAGGTAAAATGCCTATGGATTCCAAGTTCCAGAACCGTTCTAACATTTCTTCCCGTTCTGTCGCAACGATGGCCTTGAGGACTGTAGCGGTGAGTTCTGATGGTGGGGAGGGAATGGCAGTTGGTCCAGACAGTAGGTAGCCAATCTTTGATTTGGCGGCAGTAGGTCCAGATCCCCGAACAATCTTGTCTTCTACCACGTCCCAATAGTGGTCTGCACCAATGAGGAGAGAGATCTCGAATTGGTCATCGCTGGTGACGGGATGAGCTAGCTTGAGGTTCTTGAGGTAAGGTAGGTTGTATATGTCAGTGGTGATATGGTTCTTTTGTGGTATAGCAATCACTGGGATGATTACTACTTGGATTGGGATAATTCCACCAGTGTCTGTTTGTAGATGTACGGTTGCGATATCGACTCTTTTCACTGATGTCTGGGCACCACCGAAGACTGATAGGTGTAAAGGTTCTGTCCTTTCTGGCACGAGGTTGAGACTGTTTGCTAATTCTTCAGTTATGAAAGAACGTTGGGCACCTTCATCGAACAGGATGCGTGCGGTTGCGGCTCTGTTTCGGGATTGTACGGTGGCTATTGCTGTTTTCAGTAAGGTACATCGGTGGGAGTACTTGTTGTCGGATAGGTTGGTATGAAGGTTCGTAACGGATGCTGACGTGTTGTTGTTACCAGATGTTTGTTCGCTTGTGTTGGTTGTTTGAGCTACGTCGCCGCCGTTGGTACACATACATTGCACGTTTCTGTCCTTGTCTTTGATGTTTTGACGCGCGTTTGGATCAGGTTTTTGTTGTTCTGGGCGCTCTTTATTCCCTACACAAAGGCTTGTATGGTGTTTCTGGTGACATTGTCTGCAGCGGTTTTTGGATTTGTACTGTGACACGCGATGGTTATTAAGGCAGTTGAAACACAAGTTCGCCTGAAACGCAATTTGTTTTCGTGCAGCAGGATCACTTACTACCGTACAGTCGTTCGGTTTGTGAGATCCATTACAGAAAGTACACGCCTTCGGTTTGGAGGGGTTAGGTGGTGTTTTAAACTTTGAGTTACTGAAATTTCCCCCAAGGTTTTTGTATCTGCTAGTGTTCGTTAATAAACTGGAGATGGAAGGGAGGGTATCAGGTGACTGACTTAAATTGTTAAGTTTATTTGTCTCTTCACCTGCCTCGAGTATAAGGATTTCCTTCGAAATATCTTTGCGCAATTGTTCTAAACTCAAGTCCGTGGTTCCATGTTCTCGAATAAGATTGTGTTTTACAGTGGTCGGAAGCTTGCTGAAGATAACGGGCACTAGGAGATCACCGTAGGAGTCTTGTGTTTTTCCCAAAGCTTCAAGGCTTCGGACGTGATTTTCCATGCGGTCGTAAAACCCACGTAAACTAGTTACCGACTCAGATGGATTAGGGAGGTCTAACAATGCTTGCATGTGTGCGTTTGTGATTTTATGTGGTTGACCAAATCTTTCTTCTAGTATCTTGACTGACTGTGCGTAGTTTGTGTCTGTTAGTGGTAAACCCTCGATTGATCTAGCCGCTTCTTCCGCCAGATGCGCTTTTAAATAATTGAATCTTTGTATGTCACATAGAGATTTATTATCATGAACTGCGGCTTTGTACGAGTCCCAAAACGTTTGCCATTTTAGTGGATTCCCATTGAATATCGGCAGGGCTAACTTAGGTAATCTATGCGCACTCGAATTGTTCAATTGCGGCGAGTAAGTGTGACCTTGAGAGGCCAATTGTTCTCCTTGATTATAGTTTTGCGCCGCAGACAGCGTGTTGTTAGGACTTGCCGTAGTGGCTTGATTAGCACTTATAAAAAATTGTATTCGGTACCTTTTATCCATTAGCTCACTTAGATAGTCGTCTGCTTCCACGATCTCGCTTTCCAGTTCTTTCTCGGTCTCGATTTTACACGATATATTCTCGTCGAGCTTTTTCAATTGTTCGATTTTCGTGTCGAATGTCTGTAGCACAACTTGTAGTCGTTGAATGTTGGTTTCGTTGATCTCGTCATTCATTAACGTTTCTGCTTTATTCCACGTCTTTGTTGCTTGGGCTCGTTGAGCGCGTCGAGTTATCTTTGCGCGTTTAAGATCGTCCATCC